CCAAATATTAGATCTGCTGGCAGCCATTTGGTTACTTGAGAAAAGTAGCCATCATACATTGCAAGGCCTACCAAAAGGAGATGATCCTGTTACCAGGGGAAACAATTTGGCTGATATGGCAGCCAAAGAAGCTGCCATAAAATCAGGGGGTCTGAAGAAGGGGATATAGAGGAAACCACTCCTATCCTCTTGCTGATGACTCCAACGTTATCAGAACCTGTGTACACACAAAAGGACCACCACATGTCTGCCCAACTCCAGGCAAAGCCTGACATTCCAGGAGGCTGGTATCAGTTACCAGATAAGAGAATCTTGCTGCCTGAAGTCCTGGGATGGGAGCTCATTCAGCAAGTTCATCAGTCCCCTCATTTGGGATGATCAAAACTAGCCAAGCTTTTTGAGGACTGATTCTTTATACCCCAGCTGTCCAAATTGACAGTGGCTGCCAGTTCAAGATGCCCTCAATGTCAATTAGTTAACAGGCTTAGAAGGAGTAGAAACTATCAAGTTGACAGCTCCACATGGAAACTACTCGTTTTGGGGGCACTTCCTCAGGAGAACACTGGGAAATAGATTTTAATGAAATGAAGAAGCCAGGTCTCCAGGGACACGAATACCTGCTAGTGATGGTCCATATCTTCACTGGGTGGGTAGAGGCATTTCCCACCAGGTCAGAATCAGCTCTAACAGTGGTTAAAAAATTGTTATATGAGATCATTCCTCATTTTGGCCTACCCTTATCTATGGGGTCTGACAATGGCCTGGCTTTCATAGCCCAGATAATTCAAAAACTAACCCAGACCTTACAGATTGATTGGAAACTTCATTGTGTGTATGGACCTCAAAGCTCAGAGTAAGCAGAGAGGATGAAGCAGACATTAAAAAAATATGATTGCAAAGCTGTCTCTGGAAATCAGTGATAATTGGGTAAGCCTCCTTCCTTTTGCCCTCCTGCAGACCCGATTCATTCCTTATGTTTCTGGTATATCCCCTTTTGAATCAATGTACAGGAGGCCCCCTCCTCTCATTCCAAAACTCTCTGAGGAAAAATTGGTGGAATTGACTAACCAAGATCTCATTAAGTCCCTGCAGGCTCTTAGCCCATCTTGACCTCTATACATCAGTTATTCAGGCTGAAGTATCCTCCAGTAAACTCTCAGTCTGAGTCCAGCCTGCTGGTGGAACCCAGAACTCTGGTCCTAGTCAAGTGCCACCAAGGAGACACCCTTGAGCCTCGCTGGGAGGGACCTTACACCCTGGTGCTCAGTTCTCCATTGCAGTAAAGGTGGTAGGCAAGACTCTGGATTTACCACTCCCATATTAAGGTCCTGGATACCCAAGAAAAGCAATCTTCTCAAGACAATTGGACTGTGCAACCAGCTGATAACCCCCTAAAGTTAAAGATCCCCAGGTGCTCTTGACTGTAACAGACATGTATCCCCTCATTGCACTTCTTATATATAACTTGATAGTTTCTACTCCTTCTAAGCCTGTACATGGACCCAACTGGGGAACTTGGATTATATATGATAAAATTTCTCATAATATGATAGAAAAAATTGAAACTGATCAGGTTACAATTAACCTTAGATTTAAGCAAATTGCTCATATATTGAGCTGAGAGACAAAACAATCCTTTCATGGGACCCCCCTATACTTATTGTGGAATAGATCTCTACTTGCATAAATTACTCAAAGGACACCCAGACATACTTATGCCTTTAAGGACCAACCCGATATTTCCAGCTCGGCTTACTGTGGGCATAATAACTATAAGGTAATTTATTGTTATGCATGGTCCTGTGTAACATGGGACGTTGGATACCAGTCTGAGAAATATCTCAAAATAATCAAAGGATATAACTCTTCCTGCTCTACCAGTGATGCCTGTAACCCCATCACCTTAGTTTTCCAAAATCCCACGGATCCCAAATGGAAATCAGGATTAACTTATGGGATCCACCTATATGTGTCAGGCACAGACCCAGGAAACACGTTTAAAGTCCAATTCTCACCCACATCCACCCCTAGGGTCACCCTAGCCCCTAAGACATGACAGAAAAGTCTAGAAACAAAAGGGGCAACAGAGACAACTCCAACCTCCTCTCTTGAAACCCTCCCTTCCTCCCACTCTGTCTCAACAGGAGTAGGACCTATTTTCATTGCTTGAGATAGCCTACCAACTCCTAAACGAAACCCACATGATTGGGAACCTCACCTCTTGCTGGCTTTGCTTATTCTCACCACCTCCCTACCTAGAAGAATATGTTAAGACCAATGGTATTTTAAATGGGTCCCCCTCATCTTACCATAACTGGTGGGGGACTCAACCAAAGGTTTCGTTGAGGGACCTTTTCCTGACAGGAGGAAATGGAACTTGCATATATAATGAATCCAATACTCCTCCTAAGTACTGTAACTTATCAGCCTCAATCTCCATCAGCCACCATAACCAAATCAATTAGCATGGGACCGCCCCTGAGGGCCACTGGTGGGCCTGTACTTCTGGATTAACCCTCTGTGCCTATGCAACTGTATTCCAAAAACACTCTCAAGAAATATGTGTTCTTGTCCAAGTTTTACCCTGAGTGTGTTGGCACCCAGAAACTGAAGGTATCACCATCATTTCTCATGAACATATGATCGCCCTTCTTCCAGTAGTGACCAGAGTCAGCCTAATAACTGCGATCGGACTAGGGGCAACCTCACTAGGAGTGAGCCTATATCAGATTGACCTTCTCACTAGACAAATGGACTCAGGTCTACAGTAGCTTCAAAATGCTATCGCTGCACTAGAAACATCCATTGATTCTCTGGCAGAGGTGGCCCTACAAAACCGCAGAGGATTAGATCTACTGCTGGCTAAGCAAGGGGGACTCTGCCTGGCTTTGGGAGAACAATGTTGTCTATATGCAAATAAGTCTGAGATTGTTAGGTAGAACTTAGAAGAATTACAACAAATGTTAGAAAGAGAAAAAACTAGAAGAGGAGCTCAAGGGTGGATGGAGCAAAATTTCAACTTCTCACCATGGATCACTAGCTTAATTGCCAATGTGGCAGGACCCCTTATGCTGATTTTATTATTATAGGACCCTGCATAGTCAACAGGTTGGCCTCCTACATCTTTCAGCAAGTATAAGCCATAAACTGATGGTGCTACACCCATAGGGATATGAAATGGTACCGGTGCACCACCCCAAGCAACCTTAGGAATTTCCCCAAAGAATTGGGGAATGACATAAAAATCTAAACTTGCTTGTTTGCAGGATGTGCCTTCCCCAGAGGATGTTTGCCTAATCTAAACTTGCTTGTTAGTCCAATCCTTACCTGAACCTTGCTCTTCCCAAGAAATGTAACCACTGTGTTCCTGTTCTGTAGTGTGCCGCAAAACGCCCCCCTGCATTGTGAGACCAACAGAAGTTTGGGGTTTTACAGGATAAAAACCCTACTCCTTAGCTGTTAGGGGCGCATTCTTCCATATTGGCTACTGGAGGCTGCGTCAACAGGCCTGTGCTTTAATAGATAATTATTTTCTTCCCCAATTTTTTTTTCCTCTGGCTCCTTCATACCTAGTGAAGTGGACCACCACAAACCCCTGGATTATTGTATGCTGGGTTGAAGAATTTGTATGACATTAATGAAAACATCAGCAAGGGTGAAAATACTGCCAGATAACAACTTTTACACAGATGTTGGCCGTGTGTGTGTTTGCAGGTGAGTAAAATACACTACGTGTGATACTTTGGTCAGGGTTTAAAAAGTTTTCCAATGAAAAGCTGAGTTGCATATTATTTTTCCCACCTTTGCAGTCTAAATTATAATGCCCCATTCAAATTTTATTCATGTATGGTGCTGATGATTACAGCTCCTACTAAAATACACAGCATTTTTATATTCAGTACACACAGATGCAAACTGACTTCATAGAGCTTTTTTGTTTTTGTTTTCTGCTGCTATTTCAATTTATTTAAATTTCTTCATGAGGCAGAAATGTAATGCATTAAGTCAGTTTCCTTTTGAAAACATAAATGCATAGTAATTAGAGACCCAGAGAATTTGGAGAAGCACAAGATTAGCCACGCAGTAATGCAAGCTCACATCTGCAGTAAGTCTAAAAATGTCACAGAGACCTAATTTTGCTTCCATGAAGATGTAATTTGTTTCTTAGCATTTGCATGGGGAATTGGATTGGTGACTTCTGTTTAAATCCATTTACTAGTTCATTTTGCTGTGTCTTTTCAGCTAGGCTACTGGGAAAAAGGCACACCTGTAGGGCAAGGTGGATGCTACTATAGATTTGCAACTTCAAGCCATAAAATGTTTCAAAGTTACCTAAGTTATTCTTCAAGTTTTCTTTAATGAAATTCTCTCCTATATGCATTACTGCTTATTTCAATTAATTCCTATTGATTGACTATTTTTTAATTTTAAAAACAAATCAATCGCAAAAGAATAATATCCACAGTACAGAATTTCATAACAACAGGAAATTGACACTAGTTAATATAATGCATATTGTTATCTTCAAAGTAGTTGCACAGATTACAAAACTTTTTTTAACTCAAACTCACTGTCTTCCCCAACCTCTAATTATTTCATAGAGAAAATAAAAATAGAAGATTCCATAAGTAATGCTTACATGAAGAATTTTGAAATTGTTCTTTAAAAACAAAACAAAACAACAACAACAACAACAAAAAAAAACTTAGCTATGGCTTTGTTTCAGGATTGGTGTAAAAAAAAAAAAAGACTACAGTGAAGTTGCTGATTGGATGTTATCAGATCACCTAAATATTTAGAGTAGAAGATTACATAAGGGCCAGAGCAGACCAGTGGAACTTGGCAATGTCTTTTGTTGGCCTTCTTCAGAAGATCTTTAGCTTCTGGTGACATTTTCTCAGTAGTTCAAGTGCTTGGTTGGATTTCAAGAAATGAGCATTTTCTGTATTATCAAGTCACTTGGGGTAAACTTCATTAACACAATTTTTTTTTTTTTTTCTGTTTCGGGGAATATTTAAAACATGCTCTCTAGAATTTCTTGGCCAAGGTCCACTAACATCAAAGCTCCTTGAACTTGGGATTTCCAGGCATTGCTGAGGAGCATTTCTAATTATAAATTTTCAACAACATTTAGATAAGACCATTTACAGTAAGTCTTTTCACATCTTCTTTCTTCAGGGACTGAAAACTGCAACTATTAGTAAAAATGACTCACAGATTAATCATCATGCTAAGCCTGGTGGTTCTTTATAGCTCCTTTATAATGCGAAGAAAAATATGTTACTGGCATTTGGTACAAGAATGGCATTCGTGACCCTCATCATACATGGTGAGCCGGATGCTTACAGAACACTTTCGCACAGATTTCCCCAGAGACTGCTGGGTTTGAGTGCAAAGTTTGAAAGGAAGACAGGAAGCAAGAAATTCCCCAGATTTGGTCTTGGCAAGTTCAGTTAGGAGACATCCTTGTAATTTCTTCTGAACCACCTCTTCTATTTCCAGAGATAAAGTTAATAAATGTTTCTGAAACATCTTTCTTGACTGTATGCAAAATACCAGAGTTGTGTATCAGTTACTTTTTGATTCCAAATTTCAAGAGATGCACCCTGTTAATCCTCCATGGCTGAATGTTGAGGCACATTATTTTAGTACAAGTAATGGTAAATAGTCTATCACTTTGTCAACAGGGACTTCAACTGAATGTGTCAGTGAACAGCATTTCTGCCAAGAATCTCTAAGTGCAGAATTTTGCTCTGGACACAGTAAATGTCTTAGTGAATTGTAGAAGAAGATATACAACTGCCATTGTCAACCTCTATTTTCTGGAAAATACTGCCAAGAACAATGGCAGTTGCATTAAGAGCAAGCGAGTTTATCAATGCATCTGTCACCCATAATTTACAGGTAACAATTCTTTTTTATATTTCACTAAAACAGAATAATCAGTTGATAAATGGTTATCCAAAGCAACTAGTTTTTAAAAAATATATACACAATCCTTAAAATGAGCTACATTTTCATTCTGAATATATAGAATTTTGTCAGATATTCTTCAAAACTGAATATTGGGATAGTTAAAAGATTTTCATGAAAATGCATATGCTTTCATTTTATTTTTTACAAAACAACATGGTAGAGTATAGAGGAGATCTAAATTTTACGGACTTTATGGAATATTACAGACTATAAGCAAGAAATAATCTTGTTTATTGGGACAATCACAGACCTAACACTGGAATTTACAAGGGAGATGAGTTTGGACAACATACTCCAAGAACATACTGGCTATCGTTAGTAATAATAGTGCAAGAGAACAAATACCAGGCTAAAAGTGTACTTTAGTCACCAAAGAGAAGGAAAACTGACCCACAGGTGTGTTTGGAGATGATCCTGTTTTAGTGTCTAACCGAAGTTTAAAGATAGTGCAGGCTTTACTGTGCTTGGAAGTAGGTCCTCTACAGTGCCTGAGCTGGCCGCACCTAGCCAAGCCTGAAGCGGCAGTGTGATGAGACTTTTTGGAAAACCTTGTTGAGTATTCGTCGTCTCCAAAAGTCACCTAAATCAAACTAAAAGAGTAAGTTTACCCTGCATAGCAGGGAGGTTAAAATGCTGTTTCAGAAGTTAATCTGCTGAACCTCTTCATCATTTGATTTTATTGATGTGGTTAAGAAAAGATGCAAATTATCTATTTAATCATGCTGTGATATATCATGCAGATAAAATTAAGACTGGTTAGAGAAATAGTGAAAACATTTAATTTGATAATTTGGGTGAGTGAAAAGGCAGTTTAAGGGAGAATGACTGAAGTTTACATTTCAACCTCTCCAGTGAGATTTGCAGAATGCTTGATCACAAGGTTGCTAACATTTATTGGAATATTAATTTCCACATATGTCTTTGTATGTCATTCTAATGATTTTATAGGCAAAACTGTCACAGTTGCTTTAAACCACTAAGCATTCATTAAGCACTGTAAGATACTGCAATTTCACATGTTTTTTTCCTGAACCATGCACTTTTGTGGGTCTGCAATTGCAAATAATTTTTTTTTAATCTTAAAATCTCAGAAGACTGTTACTCATGTATAATTACCAAAGAAATTGAAAATGCTTGCTACAATAGTTTCCTATAAATACTATAAAGAATGTCACTGATTGGATGACTTAAAAGAAATTTAGTTCCTCACTATTAGGCATACTGAAATTCCAAGGCATAAGCAGTATAGATTTGTTCTGAGATTGTTTTCTTAGTTTATTTTTTCTAACATTTTCTCCCTAGGTCTTCATATTTTGGTTTTCTGTATATGTCATATTTCCTCTTCTTAAAAGGAAAACAGTAAAGCTGAATTAAGACCCACACTAACAATTTAATTTAATTTGAAATATTCTGTAACTATCCTGTCATTTCAAATACAGTTACATCTTGAGACCGAGATGATTAACACTTCACAGGTGGATTTGGAGGAACAAATGTGGCCCATAAAGCTTATTAACACTGCAATGAAGTAGGTGCTTAATGACCCCACTGACCCATGATTGCATTTATTTATATGATCACTCTGTTAATTAATGATTGTTTGAAGGTAAATGAATGAAGAAGCAGTCTGTACTACTGCGGCGGAGACGCCAATATGTAAAGGATTCTGAAAACAAAAACTGCTTACAGATTAAATTATAGTTCATTTGACTGGGGAGAGGGAAATCACTTTGTCAAATTATGTCAAATTATGTTTCATAGCAACATTTATCCAAGTGAGATACTCCGGATTTGCTAGGAACATTTGCCTCCTGAGGATATTATAAAATGACTGAATATGCACAAAACAAGGGTGCTCTTTAAGTAGGTGACACACTAGCACTACAGTACTGTCCATAGGTGGGATTTGGAAAATTTAACATAAAAGAAAGGACAGGCAAGTGTAGAAATTATGAGTTTTTGCACAACTTTGGAGACTCCAGAAAGCCATGTTTCCTTTTGAAATTTTTGCTTGTTTAGGTGGCATGAATACACACAATAAGCATTTGAACAGGTCACTTTGTAAATTATCATTACCATGCTACCAGGGCATGGTTAGTATTCACATATAGAATAATAATTACCATGTGAGATGATATTTAAATATTATAGTATTGGGTTAGAAAATGAAACATATGGTGTCTAAACCAAAATTATTTTTCCATTTAAATACATCATCATGTAATAATATTTTGCAATTGAAATTATATTTTGCCAACAATTTTATATTTTTCATTATTAAACTTACTGAGGAAAAGCCGAGGATTGTAATTAGCTGTTTAGATGTATTAAAAGTATTATTTAATCCTTTTGAGAAGTTGTTATTATTTTCAAGGTAATAGGAAGAAATTGTTCAGAAATTATCTGCCAGCATCAACCAGGTAATTGTTACCACAGAAACTGCCCCAAAAGAACTTCATTTGTGAATGTGGTGAAAGATTTTCGGGTAAAACTGCAAGCATATGTACACACTTTATAAATACATGAAAATTCTTATTTTGTCTCTTTTGTTTAAAATTAAATGTTTCCTGTATTGAAAAAAAAATTTACAGTGACTTTATTATGATTAAGTTGATTTCAACTTGGTAAATCTTAAGTTTTATTTTATGTTATTTTAAAGAGAAAAAAGAAAACAATTAGGAAGCAAGCAAACAATTAAAAAATAACAAAAGCAAAATGATGCCAATAGCATCAAGAGCAAAAAATATGCTGATACAGGACTTGAAAACAAGATAATAATAATTTAACAATGGTTGTTAGATTGCATATTGTTATCCTCAAAGTAATTGTTCAAACTACAAGATACAGTAATGCAAGATTGATCAAACAAGACAATATCCATTTTATGCAATTTCTTTCCCTTTAACTATAGCTATTATAACTTTTGGATCTCATTTACTCTCTTAGTTTCTTACAATAGTGAGATAATGTGTTTACATGTGCAGTGGTTTCTACTTGCATTCATTTACTTATACAAGTCTCATGTTTATTGTTCTTTATGGCTGAGTAGTACTCCATTGCATAAAAACACCACATCCTTTTTATCCATTCATCAGTTGATGGGCATTTGGGTTGTTTCCAATATTTAGCTATTACAAATTGTGCTGCTATAAACATGGGTGCATATATATCACTGTGGCATGATATTTTCAATTATTCTGACAAAATACCCTAAGGGAAATACCTGGGTCTCCTGGAACCTCTAATCCTAGTTTTTTGAGGAGTCTCCCAAAGAAAGTCATTAGGGTGAGAGATACAGCTCAGGGGGTGGAGGGGAGGGCGAGGAGAAGGGGAGAGGGAAAGGAAGGGAGAGTGGGAAAAGGAAAAGATGAAGCATATTTAGGTCTTAAGCACTCAGCTGTCTAGTTATATCAGACTTACTCCCTTAAGTAACATCAGTAGAGTCAAAGATCCTGTTATGAAAAGTTAATTTTTAAAAATTCCTTCTCAAAGGAATTTTAAAATGTGAACTGCAATTATTGTATAAACAAATACTTTCTTAAACAATTTAAACAATGACATACTCTAAACCATTCCCCTCTAACACCTGAGCTCTTCTACATCCTGCTCTGGGAAATGTGGGGCACCTTCGGGCCACTGTCCCTCTGCAAAACGGTGGCAGGAAGCATCGTCTCCAACCATCACTATGAAGATAAAGATTCCTCTAATAGGAGTGAAGAAAAAAGACTACCAATTTCTTCACAAATCCATAGTGACAGTATTTCCCAGTGTTTCTTTTCAGGCTTTCCCAACAGACCGAATTGAGGAAGATGTGCAGTTTTGGAGTGTGTTTCATGGCCAGGTCTCCCTAGGAAGGGGGCTTGTAAATGCAGTGCAGGCAGTACGAAGTGCAACTCTCTTCAAAATCTTTTGTCTCTCAAGTCTTCTGTGATTTTGTGATAGGTTGTGTGCTGAAAGAGGTTTACAGTATTGTACCTCAGTGACCATGTGACAACCAATTTATCTTTCATGTTATGATGTTTTTGAGCCAAGCAGGTAGCTAAAAGTGTTGAATTATATAATGTTTGAAATACTTATTTAGTTACTGTTAAATTAATTTTTTAAAAGAGGCAGACAGGCTCACTTCCCTGGTAAGCAGCCCTGGCTCTGGCAAGTGGTGGCTACTCCAGGGAGAGAATTAGCCAGTGTCTCCCAAGATCCATGCCATGTTGGAACTTAAGGTGTTGGGAAACCAAGCAACCTGCTCACCTCCCTAATAAACAGCCATGAGCATACTAGCATGCAGGCTGAGACTCAAACGTCCCACGCCCCATTAGCAAGTGGGAGCCAGAGGTCTGAGCATGTCTTGCGAGGTTGGACATATGCAATATTGCAAATAGAGGGATTTCCTTCTATCATCTTTGAAGACAAATATTGTTATCACCGTTTTGCTTTTTTCTGATTAATTGTATTGCTCTATTCAATATTCTGTTTTGACAAGTTCTATAATGTTTTGCATTTCATTTGATTTTGCTATACCTGATTGAAAGAAAAACTATTGTGAAGATAGATAATGAGATACACTATGGTACCTATTACTGTTCTCCCAGTAACCTGTTGTGACATTCAGTGTCAGTTTCACTGCACTGTCTCAATTGCCTTTGTTCTGTCTTGTTCTGTTGTATTTCAGTACCTTCAAAATAATAAAACATTAAAACATAGAGGCAGACATCAAGACACTAACGCTTTTAAAAGTAATTCTTAAATATTCTTTCAGAAAAAATAATTGACACTTGATCTTTATATTGAAAAAATTGTATTTTATTTATTTAATTTATATATCTTTATTTTTTGGTACCAGAGATGGAACTCACAACCTCCTATTTGCCAGGCAGGCACTTATGCCACTGAGCTAAATCCCCAGCCCTTTCAAGGAAAATTTAAAATAATACTTTGCATCATCTGTATATTTCAAAAACAGAAATTGTGGTAATTAGAGTAATCTCTAACACTGTGCCACACATGTTTTTCTGAAGGGTGACTATTTCTTTAATATGATGTTATTGGCATCTCATAAAATTAGCAACAATCCCTTCAAGGTTGCATTCTGTTTAATAAATTTGAAATTATTAGTGAGTTTGTTTGACAGTTGAACTTGGTATTTGGAGAAAGCTGATATTTCTGAACATTTCTTTCAGTTTGTGAGCAAAAATCTGGTGTTATCATGAGTAAAGAAAGCAGATTACTAAGTAGGATATTCAGTAACATTAATAGTACTTGCATGATTCTCAGACATAAAGTACTAGACAAAACATTTTGTAGAATGCAACATATTTTTTAAATTTATAAAGTATTCATTTAATTGGTTAGCTCATTAATATTTTTGAGATATTTTGATTTCTCAAAAATTTCAGGAGCTATATTTTCTGTCTAGTTTTTCGCAAAATGATAAAAGTTGCATATTATATAAATTATCTGCTTTATGAAATGATTTATATATATATATATATATATATTGTCTTTCAGTGTGTCATAGTAAAATTTTAGAAACTTTATATTTTGAATGATTTATAAGCTTATATTTTGAATATCTATTTTGTCAAATTTACTGTGCTTGGAATTTAATTACTTTTTTTTTTTTTTTTTTTTTTGGTTGCTGGGGTTGGACTCACAACTTTGCCTTTGCCAGGCAGGTACTTGTGCTGCTGAGCTAAATCTCTCACCCACTGCATTAAATTTCTAACAAAGAATTTTGAAACTCATGCCAGAAGCTGTTTCATAACCTGAATCTAGTGCAAATTTAACTGACTTCACAAAATTACACACATTATTACCCTATTCCAACTTAAAAATTGATGAGTCTTAAAATAAATTCCTGAATTTTCAGACACCTGACAAATTGCTCAGTACAGTATGACTAACAATAATTACCAAATTGCAGTCCTACACATCATCAAAGCAAGATTAAGGACTAACATCTCATTTAGATTTGTGGTAATACATTCTTCAATGTAGCTTCAAATTTGAAAATGTTATTAATGCAAAACTATATAGTCTAATTTTTTAATTTCAATAAGACCACAAATTTTAAACTTTAATTTTTCCCAGTTCAAGGAACAATTAAAATGCTCATGTTATGTATGACCAGTTTCTGGCAAATACAAGTTTGATGTAGGAAGAAGTGATTTCCAGAATATAAACCTTTCAGCCTTCATTTGGTCATTGTGAGCAAGTGAAAAGAACTCACTGATGAAGAAAAGTGTAAGGCCTGTAGCTGGTGGCTTACATCAGAAGGTGGGCAGAATAATTTTCAATGCAAGGCAAACTATTCAGTGTCCATGATCCTACCAGTAGGTAGAACTTACGAATGATAGGCTTTTGGTTATAGAAAGGAAAACTTGGTAGGAGCTAAATCAGATATCGTTTTCTTCCATTTTAATAATTGAACTTTAATCTTATTTTGAGCATCAATTTTGATAGGTTCTGGAAAATTAATCTCAGTCAATACAGCCCTAGCTCTAGCCCCCTGTTATGGAGAAAATTGAAGTACTTCCAGCTGTCATCAGTGAAATTTTAAAAATATCGTTAGTTATATAAGCTGATAAGAACACTGTAAGTAAAGCTAACTGCAAGGCTTGCATGATATAAACTTTAAAATGATAGTTTTTGGCAAATGTTTACAGAAATTAATTGAATGTAATAATGTATGAAGCTTTTAGAGATTGAATAAAATATTTTGTGTAGTTTACTGTGCTGTTAATTCTATACTGTCAAACTTTATTTCATAATATTTTTCTTCCCAAGTCTCTGATCACTATGATCATTAAGCATTGATGTTGACCTGCATTTCCAAGAATGCAGAATTTCAGCAACATAACATTAAAAGGCTGGGCCCTTTATCCAGTTAATAACACAAATGTTTTCCTTTGTTAGGCTACTTTACTCAATGAAGAATTCACCTTTCCTCTAGCCTTCTGATGTTCCTCCTATAGTAAGGAATCCAGTGTATAGTGATTGGCAAAGCAGTGCACCCCAGTCTTTCGCCCCCTCCTATAAGTTTTATATATGCTTAACAAGCATAGAGTATATACTATACACTTAAGTAATGATAATAACTGGTAATTGAGGTCTTCATATTGCAATTTTACATTGATTTGCTTGAAGAATGAGCATGTGAATTGATTATAAACTTAAAGCAACTAAAATGCTTAATAAAGCAAGTTAGTAAAACTTAATAAATATATAACATGTAACTATATATTATATATGACTATATATTACATATAACTATACATATTATATATGTAACTATATATATTAGTAAAGATATATATTTAATTACCAATTGGAATATACTTAATTGTTGACTTATAAATTTTAAAAAGTTAGCTATTTATTATGTACTTTTATTTCATGCAAAGTATGTTATTTGCATTGTCAATCTCATTTTCATTTTACTTTTTGAGAATTGGAAAAATAGAATTAAACTTAGATTCTTTTATTCCA